TCAGTCTTTGCCAGGTTGAGCTGTAGGTGATATTCTTTCATCCATTACCTTGTCAAACTAAAATAAAGACAAACATATATTTAATATTATTATTATTATTTTATTTATTTTTTTAAATGGTACACAAGTTCATTTCCATGCTTAACCATTATCTTGTCGGTATTTTACCTGTCAGTATGATTTGTGCTATGTACCATTGTAGCGAATCAGCTCATGGGGAAATATGAATAATTAACCATAACTAGTTATAATTAACTATTCATATTTTAGATCCACTGTAGATATTTAGCTGACCACTCAGGGTCAACTGTCTTGTCAATTCTAAGACGTTAATTTCCTGGTTAAGGGAAATAACTTTCTTACTGTACAATTCTATAAGCTTGTAACGTAAATCTGCATGATTATTGACTCCGGTTATGAGTAAACAATGAACACGTCAAGTGTGATACAAGTAAGGTTTTATTAACTACATAAACACTTAAACTAGTCTAACATACTACATAAACACATTAAGCCGGTCTAACATACACATACACACACACACACACACACACATACAGTTGGTATAGGAAAGGGTTAAAGTTTAACTCAGCATAGAAAGAGGCATAAAGAATGGATTTTATGGAACACTTTGCATGTATATTCAACAGATCAAAACCTTCAGGGATACGTCAGATTCTGAGTTCAAACACACCTTTGTAAAAAGGTGTAACTGATACTTAATGTATCAATTAATAAGACTAAGTTTGATACTTAGCGAGTCTCGGCGGTCTGAAAGAGATTCCTGATGCAAATCTTAAAGCTTCCCGTAGATCTTTGCTGAATTCGGGTCGACGGGTCGATGCAGTTTGAGTCAGTGTCACTTGATGAATGGAAAGGACTAGGCCGAAGAAAGGCCTGGCACAAGCTTTGGTGCTTTGGTAAGCGTTTCTCACATCTTCTTAGCTGATGACCGAACCACCGACTGAGGCGGGTCCCTGGAGCCGGGCCTTTAAGGTCGGAGAAGATCTCCGCCTTTCAAGATGGGCTTGTCCAATGAGCAAAATGGAATTTCCGAGAGGGAGGTGGCAATTGCTTGAGGGTTTACGACCCTTTGTTCTCTAAGCATGGTAATTTGCAAATGGACTTAAATCGAAATTAACGATTCTCAGGGCCCTAATATATATTGCCTATGTACCACCATATAATATACACGCTTGGTTCGATCATAAGAAGGCAAATTCATAGATACTAAACAAGGTAAGATTACATATAGTGAAAAGGGAGGATCAAGAATGGGTCCCCTCACAAGCATACTAAAATAGTCTAAGAATATCAAAGACAAAATACACAATGACAATAATATACTCAATGGCCTGAAGAAATATGTGTGTTCATTCAAATAATGGTTTTTCTATGAATTAACTAGAACACAGTCCATTTCTACTCTGCTTTTCCTTGGGACAAGCAGGGATTTTCCCTGCTTTACATACTTTTGGCCAATAAACCCAGTGATATCAGCGTTGGTTGCCATGCAACAAAGAGGCCTGTTCGACTTCCTGGGGGGTTACGCATTCCGGGGGGAAGGGTCCATGGGTCCTCATATGGCTTGTTAACTGAGGTTACAGAGTATTTGTCATATAAAAAGAGAATATATAGTGTGTTGGATTGGTCCAGACGCTACACCATTAAGTATATTAGAGTCGATTTGATGTACAGTGATCCAGTGTAATATTTCATTGACTAAATACATTCACAGACATAATGGTGGATACAGTATTGCTGCTTCAGTAGGCAAATTACAACTGTGATATCTTTGTTATCAGATTTTGAACTTGTCCTGGATCGCCATCTTCATCCGGTACCGTACAGCGAGCCCAGTCAGCTGCAGATCAGTGAGAAACGGAAACGTTCACTGGCAGTCCAGATCAGAAGACAGAGAGAGGACGGCACTGCTGCCCGGAGCTCGCCGGTATGCATCGTGTGACCTGCACTCGCTCTATTGCACACGAGATCACACAAAAAACAGACATAATATGATTCTCTAAATCTGTCTAGCATTGCCTTGGATTTCCTGGACTCCAAATCGTTCTGCAAAAATTCCTGGCACATGAAAGGAGAGGCCATGATGAAAAAAAAGACATCTGGAAATTTTAGGATATCATGTATTACAGGTCAGTAGAAAGATAACGCATAATTCCCACGACAAAAGCGTGGTTTTGCTAATAATGCGTATTCCTACAGATTCCTCACTTTGAATGGAACTCAATGGAGCTTTCCACAGAAGATGCATGGAAAGAATATCTGAGGAGGAAAATATTCTCAGAGTT